TCTCTCTCTCTCTCTCTCTCTCTCTCTCTCTCTCTCTCTCTCTCTCCTGGTACCAGGGATTGAACTACAAACCTTGCACTTGTGAGGCAGACAGTGGAACCACTGAGCTAAATCCCCGGCAACTGACTCTCTCTCTCTCACAATGAATTTCTTTCCATGAGGTTCTTTTGTGCAAATGGAACCCCACTGGACTTTCTAAATACACTTTGCATTTTTGGATTTGCAACAGGCACTAGTTAGGCTGATCCCAAGGATCCCAGTTGTAAGAGTTTGTTGGCATGATTTCTCCCATCAACACAAGCAGCAGCATTTGAACTCTTACACTAATTTGAAGAAAAAAAAAATAGCATCTGAGGATTTTTAATTTTTCTGCTTCTTTACTTCCACTATTAAGTGAGGGTATTTTCCAGGGATGTTCCTCAAGCATCACCAACCTAATTCATTTCTTCACCTGTATCTCATTTGGGGCCAAGAAAGATACAGATGTGTCAAAAGCATTTTTTCCCATGTGTCCTGTTGAAGACACCAAGATGTCTAGGTCCAACTCACTTATCATGTTACCTCTGTTTCTTCTGTTACACTCAGAAAAGTGGGCATGAATCAGTTATTAATAAATAATGTTTATTATTACACAGGAAATCTTGCTGTGACATCCAGTGGAGAATTTATTTTCCCATCAATGTGGAGAAGTAGGAAGACTGTGAAAGATGCTCTTTTGATCATCACCATGGAGAATCCTGATCTTATCAAAGCAGTTGGAAAATATGTCATCTAGAAGGAACATAAATTTCAAGTCCTTGGCCCAGAGGGAAGGAGAGAGTCTTAATCAAAAGCCAATTGCATAGATGACTGGAGCATTTAGCCATTTAGCATTAGAGCATTTAGTTTATTTCTTAAAAGGAAATAAGAAGGAAGCAAAATGGAGTGAAACAATTTTGTGGCATCCGCTGATAAAGATTTAGTCATTAGAATCTGCACTATCAGTAGGTGCTCAGGCTGGGACTCACAAAGCTGCTTCTTGTCCAGCCCTCCTAGCACAGTAAACAGCAGCACCAACACTCTCCCCCACCCCCATGTATGCAGGACCTCAAGTAGCACCAGTAAAGACTGCAGCACAGAGGAGATTAACTTAGCCAGAGCTTCCTACAGAGTTGGGCTAGAATAGCTCCCACATTTTCTGTGAGCAAGAGCTATCTTGCATGCCTTGAAAAGTTTCAGGGTGAGGGAGTACAGAGGACCCTACAGTGTTGAAAACCAAATATTCCTAATCCAAAAGGAGAATTCATCTGCACCAAGAGGAACCCAACCTAGAGCTTTAGCAAGCTCTGAATAAATATAATCTGATATTGGAGATACAGGACAGACCAAGAGGAAACTGAGGCCCAGGGAAGGACAATAATTGGTAGAGATAAGAAGCTTAACCAGTGATATAGTGAGGAACGTGCCTTCTACAAGGTCAGTGCCAGCCAGCAGTCAAAACCTAGGAGGCAAGCTATATGCAGGGCATCTGGAAGAGAAGTCAGCACCGAGAATCAATCTCTACAATTGCACACCGGTCTCTAGAAGTGGATTTAGGGCATCAAGTGCTGCTTCTGAGCTGCGTAAGCCACTGGTTTTCATTGCTGCTGTGGGAGGAAATGCAGATGGCAGCAAGTGCCACAACAGACTGGCTTCCATTTGGGTGTTCAGCATGATCATTAGTGTGCAGATACACATCACAGCAGCCTCTCATGATGGTGAAGTCACCATCATGTTGTCAGTCTCAGGTTCTGCAGATGTGCTGTTCACATCACTTCCACACGGCTTCATATGGTCTGCCCTCTGTAACTTCTCTCCAAGCCACAATTTAATTCCAGCATCAGTTAGTGTCCTTCTTGTACCTTATTGATAAGGAAATGGTAGACATAAGGGACAAGAGCACTTGTGAATTTCTAGCAACAAAACATCAAATTTTGGGACTTGATAGAATTCTGACACATACTTACAAAACATATTACGGGCAATTTAATACTGACCCAGCAGAAGCAAGTTGGACAGATCAGATCTAGGACGAAAGATGGGGGCCAGTGGAGGTTTAGCCAGCCTTCCTATGGGGAGCTAAGTAACAGTAGGCACAGCCCAGGAAGAAAGTGCCCATAATAGCTGAATTAACCTTGGGTTCCAACACCAGATTCTTCAAGGTGAGGACACGATAATGTCACAGACATCTCTGAGCATGGCCACCCAACCTGTATAACACAGAGGCACCTCTGAAGTTTGAAGGGCTGCCTAGGAGATGAGGCTTCTACAGTCCTCACTAGTTCCCTTCTCCTCACAGACAACAGCTTCCACTGAAAATTCTTCCTAGTGCCTAATGTTCAACTTTCCAGCTTCTTCATGAGCTGACTTTAAATTATATCATCACAAAAGAGCTGAAGATTGGTGACAATGACTTTTTCCTCAACCAGATTTGAGGTAGGCTCCTCTGAGCTCCCTTCTTGACTAGGCCTCCATCTTGGTTTTCTGTGTCTGTTCTTGGCAAGCTTAGTATTGAAACAAATCCTGCAAAGTCATCCTCTGCCCTTGGTTCATGCTTTATGCCCTTGGTTCAAGTTTATCGTCCATTATTCACGGTGTCTCAGTCTTCCACCTGCTTTTAAGAAGATCTTTGATATCTCTTCTCAGCAATTTTCTTTCCACTAACCACCTTATTCTGCTCTCAGCTATAAATCCCCAGCTCTTGGTTATATTTGAAGTTGAACTCAATCTCTTCCCCCTATTGCAGTAGAGTTGACTAGCATTACAATAGCCTTGAATAAAATCTTCTTAACCATTTTACCTAATATCTGGTGACTACTTTTTCTTCTGCAGGAGCACTCATGATATTTATTTTTAAAGTGCTTTTTCTTAAAAAGAAATAGGAAGTAGCCCTATAACCTCTTCATTTTTCATTGACACCATTGAATGACCACTATACTTCACAGACTTTCTTCCCCAAAATTTCCAGTCTGTCTCTTCTGCCAGAGGATTTGATGGTTTTGCTGATAAATGCAAATGTCACTAACTACGCTGAGAATTTCATTTGGAAGTTAAGTGGAAAAGCCAATTGTGCATTATGTATCTGAAATTACTTTCATTGGAATGCCTTGAATGAAATTATCAAGACTTTCTTTCATTAATTTTGTTCAGAAGTTTATTGTGAGGAGCTTCTGGGATAATGCCCAAACTCTGATAAGACAAGTAAACTGCTGCCACCAGAGTTCCTGAAAGCCTGGTCTCTACAATCTGGAGAAGCACAATCCCCCATAACCTAACCCCCCATACTTGTTACCTGGCAACTGAAATGGGTTCCATTGCAGGTGGAAGTCAAAAGAACCTCCCAGGGACAGCTCCCTCCTTCAGTGTGCTCATCAATTCTAAATGAGACTATTATGTCGATAAGTTGAATGTGAATGGCAGTGGGCTTTGTCAAACTACTAAAGGAGTTGGAAATTTCAGGAAAGCAACTGAATAAATGAAATGAAAAAGACTCAGTAATGTGAAAGTTTCATTCTTAAGGGAAAAAAACATATTTGGGAATGGAAAGTCCATTTTCTTTTTCAAAAGTGAAAAATTTTACCTCCTAGAAGGGAGGAGATTAATCACTCTGACAATCCTAACGCTACTTCCCCAAATTTCCAGCCCCTCTCAGAACATAGCACACAGACATAGCAACCAACCAGGCAGGCCATGGGCATCTCCACCCAAACCATACCACAGGATCTGACCCTCTTTAAAGATAACTACAAAATTCAAGATTTTCCTCAAAACGTGATTTCCATTGTGGGAATTTTCACAGTACTTCCAAGGAAGGTATTTCAGTATATACTTTGCTTTTTAAAAGATTTTTCCATATTTTTACAAAGCTAATATTTGTACTGTTTTAACATAAATATACTAAAACTTCTTCAAGTGAAATTTAACCTCTGAAGCTGAATTTTATGAAAACAGGATTTTAGAATATTGAATCCACAAGGAAGCTGAAAGAACACGTAGTCAGAGTTGTCTGATGTTAGCTTCATGGATAACAGGGACCTGGAGGCTAGGTCTGCAGATGCCCAGGTAATTAAAAGCAAGATCCCTAGTCTCATTTTATGTCTGTCTCCTTTATTACCATAAAACTTTGGGTCAGATCCCTGCTGTACATGTGGCATGCTAATCACTTAATCAGTTCCTGTAACACAAGGTTGATTAACCCTACATTTATCCCGTCCCCCTTCAAACTTTTACAATGTTCAGTTCCAGATCCCCTGGAGTGATGGTCAGAAGTCACTAGTCATTGTCCTAAACTGCAGCCACTTCCAGATTCCAAGGAAAGCAGAGGCCTGAAGACCTTCCTGCACAAGGGGACCCCCGGGGAGAAGAATTATACGATGACAGGAATGGGGCTGTCCCCTAAGTGTATGTAACCTCATAATGGGAATAGAATTGCTTCCTCGAGCATTCAAGGCTCTCCTAGACCTTTGCAGACCCAGTGCTGAGGCTATGACTTGACCAGGATGACCAAAGGTGCCAGCTATGCAAGCCTCTCAGCTGTGCAAAAGCCAATACTCACCTTTCCTGCCCATTTCTACAAAACCCCAAAGTTTCCGTCAGCCCCCAGAAGACAGATCTTAGACCTCTTTATTTGTCCTTCTCAGCATGGCCATACTGATTAAACTCCTTTTCTGCTCTTCACCACGGCTCATCTCCTTGACTGGCTTGAGAGAGCTGAGGTAGAATAAAAGAGACAAAGTTAGATATAAAAAGACCAGGAAACCAACACTTTAAATTAGACTTTTGAGAAGACTGCCACGTCTGAGCCTCAGATGGAGTTACCCAAGGCAATCTGAATCAGCATTCCTTTGGTTAAATTTAGGCTCCTTCCCTTCCGGACTCATCACACCCAAAATTCCTCAAAAATATTGAGAGTCCACATATTGTCTTAAATTAGAAAGTAAAAAGCAGGTACCTGATCCTAAAATATATGTACTGTCAAAGTGATAAACAAGTTGAGTGAATTCAAAGAAGGCTTAAATTATCTCTTTTTGAAAAACATGGGGCTCATAAAGAATGAGAATCTAGGGTCAGGGATTTAGCTCAGTGGTTCCAGCACCTGCCTCACAAGCACAAGGACCCAGGTTTGATACCCGGTACCAAAAAAAAAAAAAAAAAAAAAGAAGAAGAAGAAGAAGAAGAAGAAGAATGAGAATCTATAACTAAATCGATGCACATTGAGACTATACTCTTAAGTGGAATACATGGGACACACATATGTAAATACCAAATGGTTTCTCTGGCCTGAGAAACTGAAAGTGTAAATAAGGATCAAAATGCATAATAGATAATGTGAAACAGGAAGAAAAGGTCCAAAAGGGAAGGGGAAGTGGGAGGGGAAAAGATGGCCTAAGGACATCACAAGAACCAGCAGGACCACAGCCTTTTCAGCCTCAGATCTGCAAAGGTGAAAGTCTTTGCATTGAGGAAAGAGCCTCAGAGTACCATGTCTGGGTTGGTACCAGTTGAAAGAACTTGTTCTTGGGGATTGGATTCAGAGTGCTCAGGGATCCAGGTACTGGACCACCTCAGCCAAAAGAGAAGGAAGCCTGGCTCCAGATGGTGGCAGACGTTGGCACCATCCATGTGGCACTGGTCTTAGGTGCGTGCAGAAAGAAGGAGTTGTGGAGTCAAGATGGCTTCCACTCAGACTGCAGAAGAAGGCCTCGGTCAGGCAGTGCGCCCCCGAGAGGGCAGTGTGTGAAGCTGTGAGTGTGAAGCCGAAGGAGCAGTGGAGATCCCAGAAGTATAGAGAAGCCAGGACCATGGATCATCTGAGGAAAACTGCAAGGAGGGAGCAGAGACAGCCAAAGAGAGAACATGAGGGCTACAACCACCACCAGGGCTGTAGGGGTGGAGCCACCCAAGCTCTTTGGAGTCCACAACTTTCCAAAGATGCCCAGGGATACTGGAAGTAGAATTATGGAATTATGGAATATGCTGAATTTTGGACTTTCTTTTGGTCCCATTCCTTTGTATCCCTCTGTTTGTACTTTTTGGAATGGAAATGTCTATCTTGTGCCATTGAATGCTGAATTGTTTAACTTTCTTTTCACTGGTACAGAGGCTTGCAGCTAAAAATTTGCCTTAAATCTCAGAGGAGATTTTTGAACTTGGACTTTTCAGCAATGCTGAAACAGTTAGGATTTTGACAAGTCTTAGAGATGGACTAAATGCTTTCTTGCATAAATGGATGTGCATGAGTCTTTGAGGGGCCAGGAATTGAATGTTTGTGTCTAACATCCCCCAAAACCTCATGTGTTCATAGGTGAAGATTTTTCAGAAGTACCTGGATCTAGAAGATGTGACACGGGAATTGATTCATGGAGCAATGCTAGGATCAAGGGCACTAGGATTAAGGGGACTCATGCTACCTTCCCTACACAGTCTGGAAAAGATAAAAGGGGCAGAAAGACACTGTTAAGATCTGAGACACAGGTCTTTTAGTGCTGAAACCAAGAAATCCCAGGCATACCTGAGTTGGCCACCTACTTTATGCCAGAATTCAGGCACATGATCATTTATTCCTACCTAACAGGGGCAGAATAAAGAATATGGAATATTTTGTTTTTATTGTGGATGGCAGGCTTGTTAAGTAGGAAAAAGGAGACAGGAAAGGTTGAGGAATAACAGGTCAGAGGCCTGCTCTTCAGGTATACCTCCTCCCTTCTTCCTAACAGAATTCCAGTTTTAGTCTGTTACCCACCCTTGACCATATGAGTAAGCCAATCACAGCAGTCTTATTTCTACTTCCTTTGAAAATGGCCAGGAGATACAATCTGGATGAAGAAGCATCAGGCTTCCTTTCACACCAAGATGTGATTTCTTGAAAAACCTTCAAGAAATATTTTCAGTCTTAAGTATAGACTCAAAATAAATAAGTAAAACTACTCTAGGACCCAGAGCAAGTGCCCACAAAATTGAAATCAGGATCCCGAAGAGACATTTGAACACTGTGGCATAGCAGCATTAATCCCGATAAGCAAGGTAGAAGCGACCCAAGTGTCCATCAGTGGACGAATGGATAAACAAAGGGTGGTTGATACATATGACAGGATATTGTGCATCCTTTAAAAGGGAGAAAATCCTGACCTGTGCCACAAAATGGATGAACCTCCCACACTAGAGCTTCCCAAAAGCCTGGAGGAGGTTGCAGCTCTACACCCTTTAGTGCAAACAATGGAAGGGAAATTAATTTTTACTTGAAGTAATGAACTCAACATAAAAGTTCCCTAAGGAATTATCAGTCTCATGCCAAGAGTACCTGCGAGCTCAGGAAGAAATTTCACACTTGACTGAGATTCGTTCATCAGTTCCATTAAAATCAGCAGAGCCATTTGCTAACCCTGTTGATTCCATCTTCTGAAAAAATGAGGAGAGGATAATAAAAAGAAGAAAAGGAATGCTAAATCGCAGACAAAGTAAGACATACCTCCTTTTCACAAAGTCTCCTCCCTGGGTGTCTCTATGGGCAGCTAAGTCCTCTGAGAAGAAATGCACTGGAGACCTGCTCCTTAAGAAGAGGGAGCAGATATGGCTGGGGAGAGCTTCAGATGGCCGTGAAGATGTGACAACTGTGAATGAAAAAGCAAAGGCAAGATGGGGCTGAAGGAGCCTCACACTGCAGGCTGATGAACGAACGTTCCAGGCTAAGAATAGCCCAGAACTGCGTCCTGCTTTGGGCAGGAATGGCTGGGTTCTGCCCGACCCCCACAACACACCTCTGGCATGCTCAGTTTTGACTGGGAGCATCCTGGGGGGCTGTATGTGTGTGAACCTGTGTCAGATCTGGAGGTGCAGCACCTATGCCTGTCCACAGCCACCCGCCTCATTCTCTGAGGTTCTCTGAGGGCTGTGTGAATGGCAAATACCCTTAGCTACCACAGCACCCTACAGCTCCCTAAGTCCCAACCTACCTGCTGTTCCACCCTTAACCTTCCCAGTCATGACTTGCCTTCCTCCCTAGCCACCTTAGCTTATCAATCATTTCAATAAATATTAATTCAGCACGGAGAGGCAGGAGAGCCACAATGATTAACTCATGCAAACTTCAACAGGCACCTGCTTACCAGGAGGAGACACGGGATAAATCTGGTCCATCGAGCAAGAGACCCAAAGTCAGGGCCAGGGTTTCCCAATATGGGTTGCACTTTAGAATCAGCTCGGGAGCTATAAAACAGGGGCCAAACAGCAACAGCCCACAGGAATCTGTTTTCATATGGCCAAAAGCGAAGAACGGATTTTTTTTTCTGGTAAATGGTTGAAAAACTGAAAACTATATGAAATTTAAATTTCAGCCTCCTACATAACGTTCTGTGGGACACAGCCCCACTCCTTTTGCCGTGTATCATTTGCAGCTGCTTTCAGGCTGTAATGACAGAATTGAGGCTTGCAGCAGGAACCATACGGTCCACACAGATATTTCACCAGGACATTTACTGTCTGACCCTGAACAGATGAAATTTGCCACCCTTGGGTGAAGGCACTAAACTGTCCACAGGGTTTCAGCAGCAGCAGCTCCCTGGGGCACTGGGAGGGCTGTGATGGAGGCACCCAGGGCCGGCTGCAGAAACCAGTTTATGTTACTGGCCCCAGGTTCCCGCCACACCACACACCAAATGCCCCTGACCAAAAAGAAAGGAGAGGAAATGGCAGATTCCTTGCTGATAACCCTTCGTGTTCCCTGAACTTTGAGGGAGGTCTAGTCTTTAAACTAACGTAGAGCAAAAAGTGCTCTGGCCTACCTCTGAAGGGCAAGGTTTACATGGCTCACTTTGCTAAGGAAACACATTATTCCTATTTCTCGGATGCAGTCCATCAAAGTACATGTACTTTATTTCACCCATGGTGCCAAAAGCAAGATCTAATGAAAAGTAAATCTCCCCCTTTCCCCTAGGTAGTTGCCATCCCTCATTTCATGTTATCACATTTACCGTTCATACTTATGCATTACAGCCAGATGTGGCAGTGCACACCTGTAATCCCAGCCCTTGGGAGACTGAGGCAGGAGGATCACCTAAAGCTCTCATTTCACCCCCTCTGCCTACCCTTAGGTCTATCTTTTCAACTTGCCTATCCTTATCTTCAGATTCTAGCTGAAAACAAACTGCCTAAAAAGACTCTTGGACTATCTGAGGTATTATACAACTGTGAATCTGTAATTATAATCATTCTTCTTTCTTTTTTAGCCCTGGAGACCAAACCTAGGACCTCCTATGTTTTACATAAGGGCTGTAACAATGAGCTAACTAACCTCCAGACCTTACTAGACATGCTTCTTCTGATAGCTGTATGTTCCCTTGATTTTGAGGGTTTGTTTTTTGAGACAAGGTCTTGCTAATACTGATCTCAAATTCCTAGGTTCAAGCAATCTTCCTGTTTCAGCCTCCTGAGTGCTGGGACTAAAGATATAAGGCATCACATTGGGTTTATTAGCTAAACAATAAAAGGAAGAGTCTTGCTTGGGTTGAACCAAATATAGAAACTTCTCTCAAGAATATAAACTGGGTGTGAGGCTCAGTTGTACAGCTCTTGCCTAGGATGCACAGGCCCTAGTTATCCTAAGGGTATCACATGTGGGGGCAGGATGGATCTATAGTTCAGCAATCAAGCCCTGGGTTCAAATCTCTCCACAAAAAAAGAAAAAAATTCAACCTATCAAAATCTGAAATTGGCATAAATAGTGCTGATGGGAGAAGAATCTCAATTCAGCTCCTTTGCTCTTTTCTGACTTCTAAAGAAGCACTTTCAGGCTAGGTCCATTTCAAATGTTTAACTCTCCCTTTCTTCCCATAATTGCCTGCCTGCCTGTCTCTTCTTCCCCAGAAAATGCTTTCGAATTCTCTTTATTATGATCTATGTACTGTCTTGGTGATAGTGGTATGGGAAAACCTTCTGGAAAGACAGAACTGGTCTGTGTTTTCATTTTAAGTATAACCCTAGAGTGCTTACTTTACCAGCTGTGGTAAGAAAATGGGCCATTAAATGATTTCCCAAGTAAGATGTTGTCTTTTTAAAAGACTGCTGTTCAAACCAGGCTCTGAGGATAAATCCTGAGGAGGCAGAAGACCTATCTCTCTTTTAATCAAAGGTGAGGCATAATATTAAAATGCATGTGTTGACATATGGCTATTGGGAGCTGGAAGCACCAAGGGGGGTGGGATTGTGGTCTCCTCACGCATTTCAGTATCTGAATATTGTTGGCAATAATCAATAAAGTATGAAAAAGTCTTAGGGTGAAGAGATGACTCCCGAAAGAACAACTTAAGATGCCTCTTTTTAAAAAAATCTGATTTAGGAATGAGGAATAGGGCAAGAAGGGGGGTATTCAGGGAGAGGATACAAGAATGGTGGGTGGACATGATCAAGACACAATTTATGTATGTATGGAACTATCATAGCGAACGCCATTAATTTGTACAGATAATATGTGGTAAATATAATACAGAATTTCAAATCCATCTGTGCCCTATAAGCTGGTGCTTAGTATGGAAAGAGATAAGAGGTGATGGAAGAGATTAGGAAGATGAAGTACAAAATGGGAAAACCTGGCTACAAGTTGTCTTCTGAACCCAGCAGGAATCAGGCGATAGCTGGGCAACATGAGATGTTACGGAAAATTGTGACATAGATAAAAGTCTTCTGCAAGTGAAAGACCATGACATTCTGGTAGCTGTGACTGCCTAGACTAGAAAAAGGGGAAGTGGGGCTCAGGAAACTTAATTCACGATTAAGAAAAAAACCAGTAAGGAAAGACATGAAAGTAAAATAAATTAATATAAAGAAATGTTTTGAGGGCTTTCTCTGAGCTGGACACCATCTTAACATTTTTATATTAATAGTTTTGTGTTCTCACAACAACTCCAAGAGATGGAGAAATGATGTGCTTAAGGACAGGTAGCAGTAGCCGAGCATGGGGGCACATGCATGTAACCTTAGAATTCGGGAGGTGAGGCAAGAGGATCCCTGCGAGTTCAAGGCCTGCCTTAGCTGCATAGTGAGTACAAGACCAGACTGAACTACATAGAAAGGCCCTGTTCCAAAAAACAGTAACAAAAGACAAATATCAGTGTCCAGACAGTGCCCACTAAAGCAGAGACCCCTTCCTGCACAAGTAATCGCTGGTGGCATTCAAAAAAGAAATATCGTTTGCTGAGGACTCAAGGAAAGTTTCTTGGGTTGTGAACTGTTTAATATTTTCAGGCTTTGGATGGCCAGCAATTAGGAGGGAAAAGCATTTATGATGATAAGCATTTAAAAAGGCAAAACATTATCTTTCCTTTTTCTCTTGGGGACCTTTTTGCATATGGAATCTCTCTTTCTAGTGCCCGTAACAACTCTTTGCTTATGGCAGGCACACCTATAACAGGTGACAGCACCATTCATACATCCATGCATAGAGAGCTGGGTTGATAACCACTTGAGGAGGTCTAGGTTCAGCTGTGTCTGAGCTAGATCTTCCTCTGGCCTTTCCAGTTACCCGAGCCAGTGCATTTCACTTTTTTTGCTTAGGGTATTTTGAACTTTGTATTTTCTCACTTGCTACTGAACAAGTACAGGCCGAAGAATACAACTTGAAAGCAACCAAATGTAGTGGAGATATCCCACTCAGGGCCCTTTGGCAGAATCCAAATCCTCATTTCCTTCCTGCTGGCTCCACCCGTCCTGGAACTGGTACCAGACAGGGGAAGTGGCACTGAACATGCAAGGACAAAATGTCAGGATTCCCAGGACTTCCTGGCAAAGGCCGGAGACAGCAAACCCCCTCTGCCTCCCTTGGTTTCTGAGGGGCCTATTTGCCAGTCATGTATCCACACCAGGCAGCCCTAAGCAGCCATGTCCTGGGGATCAGCTGCAAAGTCAGCTGTGAAGATGTTTAATTGGGAATCTAGATTATTTCTTACATAAATAAAAGGAGAAGATATATCCCTTGGAAATATTTTCAGATGCACTTAACAGAACAAACACTTGATGGATTGGGGATGAAGAAAAGAAATTGGGATGACGAAGCCGCAACCTTTTCGGTGGTCTGGTTCTCAAAGTGTGCTGGCAGAGCACAGCATAAACAAGACCTAGGAACTAGCTGGAAATGCAAGCTCTCAGCCTGAGCAATCTTTGCTCTAGTAAACTTTCCAGGAAGTTGGTGTCCATTTGAATACATTTGAGAGCAATAGGAAAAGAGGGTAGCAACGTAGTTTGCTCCGCCCCTTCTATAAGCTTGTCTCTGGTTTGTAATACTCTGCGATTTAAACTGTTATGATTTGGCACCAAAAAGACAAACACTGTCTCCAAATAAAAAATAAAAATGTGAAGGTACTGAGTTTAATCCCCAGTACTACACACACACACACACACACACACACGCACGACTCACACAGTTAACTGATTGTGTCAGTTTGAGTAAGAAATGCCCAACTAAATTGGATCAGCATAGTCCTGGGGGTGGCTAAGGAGATTTACTGAAGACAGAAGACCCACACTCAGTGTGAGT